CCTTCTGCAGAGAGCTAAGTCTTCACATAATGTGCCTGAAGTAGGATAATTTGAACCTGGTCATCTGGGCCTTGAGTGAGAATTCTAGGTTGATTTGTTTAATGAACCATTTGTTTGTTTTCTTAGCTGTCCATGGTATTCTCAGGAGTCTTCTCCAACACCATTTAAAAAGCAGTTTTGGAGCTCACTAGAGAAATTGTTGTTTGGTGAAATTCTGAAAACAATTTAGTTCCACTTTGATCATGTACTTTGGTTTGCTTCGGGCCCTAACTACTTCATGTTTCTCTGACGTTTTGTAGCTCAGAACAAAACAACAGTGATGACACATATGATATTTAGCATGAAATAAAATACTAACAAAGAATTTGTAATTAGCTCGGTTTTCTTCTTAACTATTTGTGTTTGTTGTTTTTTCCATAGAAAGAGAGGCACAGCAAAGCACACCCTATTTTCTGGACTGAGCCTTATTCCTGTACACTGGACCAATGTGCATTGCCATGGCAATGAAGAAAACATCCTGTTATGTGAAAAAACTATTTGGCAGGGTGGAACGTGTCCCCAGAATATGGCAGCTGCTGTCACATGTAGCTTTTCCCATGGTAAAACCACAACAACAACTACAAATAATTACACAATAATAAACAGCAGTTTCATCCAAGATGATCTGATAGCGGATTACATAGTAAAATGGAAAATTATTGGTAGTAAAATGATTAAGTCGGCCTTCCTGAGCATGGTGCCCTCTAGACATTCTGAGGAATGCCAGGCTGGGAAAATTTAACATAAGTGCATTCTGAATAATACCATCAGCAGGTACTCCATGCTGAAATGCAGTTCTGCTACAGTGATATAAACAGTGATTTGGGGATCAAAAAGAGAGCAATACAGAATTCTTACCCTGTCGATGAATTGCCTTCCCAGAGCCCTGAAGATGAGAATTACAGTCTCTTGCTTTATATCTTCCTTTACTCCCTAAAAAAACATTTATCTGCTACCTGAAATGTTGCTTTTGAAGACTTCCCATTGGATTTGTGCAGAAGGTTTTATTTCGAGGAATTAGAAGAAAACCTTCTTTGGGGAGTGGTCTTGCTAATGGAATGCAAGATAGTCTTCCTTCTTCAGTCATTTTTATAATTCAGTATTCAGTTTGATTTTAAGTGCCTACTCTATTCAAAATAATGGGTTTTATGTTTTGTATGCTATTTACTTTTAATGTTTTTCCCCATCTGGACAATTTCGTGGAATTTGTTATTGTTATTGAGGAACTCCTCTTTCTGTTGTGCAGACATTGGTGCTTTCCACTAATCTGTCAAGAGTTTCATTGCCCATCATCATATTTGATTGTCTGCATTCTTCCCCCACATGTTTATCATGACATATTATGGGAAAAATGTCTCACTAGTTGACCATTGCTTGGGTGCAGTGAATCAGTGTTGATCACAATGAGCCTCCTAAATACCTGTGAATTTCTCTAACAAACACAAGTTGTGATTAGCACAGATCTTTCTTTTTTGATGTCTAAAGGAAAGCAGTTCAAATCAGAATTCTATATGATCTCTTGGAAACAAAGCCTAGAACTTAGAAAGAATAGGATTTCCAACAGAATTCTGAATTCAACACTGTTACTCAGTGGAAGGTGGAATTCTTGTGAAGCTGATTAAAGTATGAGATCATATTTCCCTGAGCAGCTGCTTAGAAAGGCATGCCTATCCTTTGAGAATGATGCCTTGATAGTAAAGGCATGCAATACGGTATGTATGTATATACACTTGCTTAGGCCAAAAATACTTGCTGGTGTGGCAATTTGTCACCTTTTTCAAAAGCACATGCCATACTTCTTCTTAATTCCCAAATGAAGCATGTTTTGTCTACCAGTTGATTGTTAATATTTAAAACATCCAGCTGGAGATTTCAATACTCTCATGCTTAATCATATTTTTGTATAGGAGCTGCACAGAGATTAGAAATGTTAGGGCTCTGCTTCTTTTCTTTTTCTTTTTAACCAAATGGTGATACAATGGCTCTTTTTAACATTGCTCCAACTTCCAATATATGTAGAACAGGAACAACTTAATGCAAGAAATGTTATTTTCAACTGAGGCTATTATATATCAAAAGGGCTTCATTGTTCTTTTTGAGAGGGCTCCTTGATGAGAGTGGATTTAAAAGGTCATTTGAGGAGGGCTAGAGTGAGATATGCATAAAGCCCCATAGACTGGCTCACACAGTCATTTTTTCCTACCTGTTAGCCATCTTCTTGTTCTCACATGGAGCTAGCAGTGAATTGCAACCTATTATAACAATCCCATTAGCGAGTAGGGCTGCCTACATGTGCAGGAAGGGAACTGCATGAAGATAGTTTGGGGCATAGCAATGTTACTAATGGAACTAATCTTTTCCTTCTTGCAAAAATTAAAGTGGGAATATAAATGGAAGTTATAATGAAAATGAAACTTAACTGAAATCCAGTTTCTGTAATACTCAAGTTTGGAATAATCAGAGTGATCAAAACTCTGTATGAAGAGTTATAGCTGCTTTGTTGCCAGTAGAAGCAGGAAGCACAGAGTCCTTGTATTACCTGTTCCTTTATATTTCCATCTCATAAAAATATTTTTTCTCTCTCTTTGTACAACCAAAAATGTGGCTTGTGCATGTCTTTGCCAAAGAAATATAAACACCTGCATTTTGTATAGGATGGGAAGTTACTGTAAATTTTCTACTGAGCTATTTTGAATAATTATCCCTCAATTTTAAAGGTTGAATATGATCTATTTTGGTTTGCAAAAAATACACATTGGAGGGATTTTGAAGCCATCAGAGCCTGTGGTCATTGCTATAGTTTGGAAGAATTGCACTGAGCAGTTAAACATTATAAAAGAAACACTTTATCCTGGAAATGATTTTATTTTCATTACTTTCATTAAGTGATATGCCATGTATAGTTTTATAAAACATTATAACTTTATTTTCCCCTGCCTTTTCTATGAAACTAAAATCTTCAGACTTGTTTTCTCTACAAGGAAAGTACTCTTACATTGCTTTGGTTGCCAATTTCTGTACCTTTTTCTTTTTGAAATCCTGCATTATTCTCTTCATTAATCCTAACTCTAGAGGTCTTCAAAGCTGAATTGTAATTTTAGTGCTGCATCCATTTTATTTTTAAGATTCATTTCTCCCATGCTTATTCAACAAATCCTTTCTTATCCTGTGTTGTTATGGAGGAAATTTCCTTTTTTTATTAGGAAAATACCTTGTGAATAATTGCAGTTATGAACTCTGAAGCAACTGTGAAAAACAACATTCTTCTGTTCTTAATCGACAGTATTATAACAGTACAGGTGACATTTCTTCCATTTCATTGATCAAGTTCATATGGAGTATTTAGCTGTCCTTTTTACAGCTAAAATTCTATCCTGAAGCTGCAGGAGTTAACTCTCATGGGCAACCTGTAAGTCTGATAGGTGCATATTTGGAAGGTGCTCAAATACAATTTTATTTGGTAATATGAATTATACTGCTCATATGCCATCTTTGTCAGTGCAATTATAGCAAAGAAAGCAACATGGGGTAGCACATTGAACTGTAGCTGGCCAAATTACATTGTTCTTACCTACTCTAGTCCAACCTTTCCATCTCAATTTATTGGGATTGTCATTGGCCGTGGCAACTGGGAATATTACACATCACAATCCCAGCCCATCTGGATGGAGAATGACTCTAATTCCTGGCCAGTACTGAATACAGCTAGATAATCTTGTCTGGACAAGACACTCTTATCGAGGCTGTGATCAATACTAGCCGGGAATTGATCCAGCTAGTATCCGGTCATTGCAAAAACAGTTAGATTAAGAAAAGACTCAAATGTTGCTAGGAAATTAATAGCATTTTTTCTTTCTATTTTGTCCCATTATTTGGTAATGGAAACCTTATTTTTCTCTTCATATTTTTATATTCAGCCTCTGGTTTTATTCCAGTCCGATTGGTGGATGGGAGCAGTACTTATGAAGGAAGAGTTGAAGTGTATCATGCTGGCCGATGGGGAACCATCTGTGACGACCAGTGGGATGATGTTGATGCTGAGGTAGTCTGCAGGCAGCTTGGCTTTGGGTTAGTTTGTTCTAGATAAGTTATTTCCACTTGTAAAACTAAAAGCACCGAAAGATGTTTAAAAAACTCAGATTGCTTGCTGTCCCTCATAGAATAGAGCTAATCAGTTTTGAACCTGGGAACACTACTTTAAAAGAAGGTAAAACTCCATGAGAATTTTGGAGCATTGGGTCCTCAATCTTTCAAATCTTAACTCTCACCAATCGCTCTTTCAAATAAACGGGCTTCACTAAGAAACAAAAAGCATCCTTTTTTTTTTCTTGAGAAGGCTGGATGTGTATTTTCAGACATTTTGTTATTATGTTTGCTAGTGATAGTACATTTAAAGTAATAAAAAGGACAGTAATGCTAATGACACTGTTGTTGATTGAGAGGAAACTGGAGCTGAAGCAGTATTTGTGATTTTGAGAACAGCCTTCCGTATATCTAAACCAAAAACTACATCCAAATAATGAAAGAGAGAACTGACTACTGTAAAATGCTATGTTAGTTATTTTATTAACCTTTCAGAAGCTTCTTGCTCTTTTGAAATAATTAGTCTCTTTGGCTAAGCACACTTGATGGGAGACTTGTGGCTCTATACTTCCTCTTTGCTCTTCTCTCTTTCTCTTGTGGATTTTCCCCCTGATTTGGGGAGGGGAGTCAAGCCCACTTAGACTACTTCTGTATACTGCCAGTGGTACATATACCACAGGTTGTGAAGCACTGTTCTAGAAATGGTTCAGTTGTTTGGACAATGCCTAAGTGGAAAAGGACATCACATATTTTGCTTTCTTTTTCTTTCCTATAACATGATATACTCAAATGGTGACCATCTTATTTGTTTATTACTGAATGTAGCAAATTAACCCATTTGGTTAGTTGATGGTTTTTAAGCAGTTAATGGACCATGAATGTCATGTGATCTTTGCTACGTGAGTATCCATAAGTATTCATAAGTCAGCCTTCTCCAACTGGTGCTCTCCAAATTTATTGAGACTATTGCTTTCAAAAATCCCAGCTAGTTGTAGTCTCAGTAGATCTGGAAGGCTTCATGTTAGGGAAGACTAACCAGGGAAGTTCAGAAGCTCATTGTAAGTTGCAGTATTTATCCCAAAGTTGAGGCTGAATTTACTGTAAGTGAATTTTTGCAAAAAGGAAGAACAGACCAAAAAGATGACAATGAAAAAAAGAAAAAAAAGAAAAAAAGAAAACCAACTCAAACCAATATGAACACAGAAAAAAAAAATCCTGTACAATGTCCAGCTCTCTCATCCTGTCAACAGAGGGTTGATCAATCCAGGAGATTTCCCCCCTCCCCCGAATAAAAATGTGCATTTATCTCTCTCTCACACACACACATACCTGCCAGAAGCTGCACTATAAAGAAAAAGGCAGGGTCAGGACAAAAAATTGCATAACTGCTAATTCAAATTAATTGCTTATAAAATAAGGTACACATTTTATAAAATTAATTATCTTTGTTTACTTTGTGCTGGTCATTGGCCAAATAAAGATTACTTGACAAGAAGATTAACTGATTCCTATCAACATATACCAACCTTCTTTCTCACTTAGATAAACTATGTGATATGCTATGGTGGAAAACCCACCCCTAAATCACCAATAACTGGAGAAAATCCAAACAAGCATTTATTAGTTCCAAAGTTAGCAGGTTACAGTCAGTCACTGGCTTCTTGCATTCAGACAAGCCAAGAGCAACAGCCCCAAAGTCACATAGATCTTATATAGGATGTTGCTCAGACAGTTTGAGCATGCGTGTTCATCAGCAAAAAACAAAAACAAAACACAAACACAAACAGAATTGCTTTACAACTGATAAGGGAGCAAGATAATCACAAAGGGAGATGCAGGTTTCCTTCATGGTATGAAATCATTACAGACACATTCCTAGAAAGGAAACACAATAGCTTTGATCTAACTGTTATTCCACAAGCTGGCCCTGCATTTACTGTGAAAGAAGGGAGAGATAAAGGGGCAGGGTAGAATATATCCTTGAATCATTCTCCTTTCAAGCCATGAACTCTTCAACCAATTAGTCACTATCAGGCACAGGCTGGTACAGAAATTCTATTCCTAAGCAGAGATACACAATAAAGGAAGTAGAAATAAACATATGTGTAATACTATACTTACATAAATAAGTGCAAGTATGATTGCATCATTGAGTCATCTTGAGTTCTTATTCCAACTCTACATACACCCACAGTATATACAAACATGCCCCTTCCTCCTTGCAGCAGAAACAACAACAAAATGGGTAAAGAGCAAGAGGCAACTGGTAAGGAAAAGAGCACTGCTCTTAATCCTCAGAAAGGATTAATCTCACTCAGCAAGAATTCAAGCAAGGTTAACTTCAAGTTAATACTAAAAGGCTTCCACTTTCAGCAGATATATCAGTTTGGAGTCAGGCAGCACCTAAACTGAATTATACACATACATACATTGCCCTTCTGGTCCATTCCTTTATTTTCAACAGTTTCTTCTATTCTTATCAGCTAATATATGACTTAATAAGTTAACCCTAATTATTGGGGTAAGGGGAAATCATCTTACCAATCAGGTACTTGGGGTGCCCCTATAGATACAAGTTACTGAGATTTATTTCATCACACATTTTGTAGGTTCTGAACAGATAAAGATATATTATTTCTTGCTAGCTTTATTTTTTTTCTTGAACAAGTTACCTCAAATTTTTTAGCTAACAATCTGAATAATTTTTTTAGTTGTCTGCCTTACCATGTGACCCTTGTCCAACCTGTCTAGTTAAACGTAGACTATGAAGACTGACAGTGTTACTTAGATGGTTTAATCTTATTTGTATTTGGACTTTGCAAGTCAGTAGCTGAAGGTTTAAAATATCAATGTCAAAGGTCACTGACTTAAGATTTAACTAAAACAAATCAGTGTATTGAAATGCCATACATAAATAGTAAATAGTATTGTCTTCATATAGGAAATATTAGAGGCATTAATATCAAAACATATATAGTAAATTTGAACAGTTTTGAAAAGTTTGTGGCAAGGTTTAAAAAATAAAATCCCCCCCCCCCCCCCCCCACAAAATAGCCAAACAAACACCAGCAGACCTCACTAGAATGGTAGTTCTTGTTACTTTCATAGTTTCCCAAAACTGTTGGAGAATGTTGATGTCACTTTTTCTTTCTCTTCTGTCTGGTAGTGGTTGTGGATTCTCTGTACTAACATCAAGTACTAGTAATGAACAAGATAAGGTTAATAGGGTTAAGAATTTGCCTTTACTCTTACATTGTTTTTGTGGAAGCTGCTTTGTATGCCTGCCAGTTGAAAGGTAATATATAAATATTCAGATTTTTGAGCAGGGGCTTTGAGTCAGTCTTGACTGCTGGTGGTTGCCTGGACAAGTCCTTGCAGTTTTCTTGGCAAGATTTTTAAAAGTGGGTTGCCAGTGCCTCTTTCCTTGGGCTGAGAGAAAATGACTGGCCCAGAGTCACTCAGTTGGTTTAATAGCTAAGGCAGAACTAAAACTCATGGTCTCCTGGTTTCTAGCCTAGTGCCTTAAGCACTACACCAAATTGGTTGTCTAAAATATTCAGATGGCTGGTCATGAACAAGTTAAGAAGAAACAAAAAATAAAGTAGCATTACAATGGAGAAGATATATAGCTACTGTTGTGGGGCTATTGGAAATAGGCATGCAAATGATATTAAAAAGAAAACACTGATTGAAGAATGGATACCTAGAGGTTAGTCTTTAACTAAATTGATCTAGGTTCTTCCTTTGCAGTAATCGTAATATGTGTGCATTCAAAATACGTATTCTACTCCCCCTTGCATTTATAACATTCATATTTCATGGGAACCAAAACTAAGTATTCCAGACTTCTCAGTACAGTAGACTTCAACCCAAACTTCTTATGTACAAACAGAATGTCAAAGACTGAGCTATGAGCTTCTGTTTACTCAGTGGAGTTTCTGAATCCCTTTCCTAAGCCCTCCTTCTTAATTTGCTGCTCAGCATGTTACTCCAAATACTGGATGGGGCTGGGAGTGATTTCTATGCTGTGAAAGGATCTCTCCTAGAGTCTAGGTGGAGAATAGAAGCTTAGTGCAGATGCAAACACTTGTATGAAATATAAACATCCTTTTGATCCCAGTCTCAAACTTCAATTTGAACTGTAACTTAAATTTGCAGTTTCAAAATCATGCCACAGTTGAAATGAAATTCCATTTACCCTAAACTCACATAGTTAGTCTTTTTAAAAAAAATATGCAAAGCTGTGACATCAAAAAGAATAGAAGGGCGGTTTGGCAAATAGACTCATTTTCAAAGAAGTGAAATCTACCAAGAAAGGAGAGATACAGATATAATAGCTGGGCATGGGATGTCGTGAGGAAGAGATACTGAGCCATGTAGATCTTCTCAATTAATCCAGCTGTAAATTGTAAACTAAAACCTTCTGGCAATAACTTTCCTGCTTGTCATAGATTGTCTTTAGCATTACTGTGCAATATGCTTTCCAGGATTCTCAAAGAGAGAATACTGCTTATGTAACTGAATATTATTTCCTTAAAGCCTTCTGTTATTTGAATTCCTAACCTCTAGGCATTTGAGATGCATTCTCAATAAGCCTAAATATAGAAATCAGAGATCTTTTAATATAATTCCTTGCAGTATAATATACCCTTTCACAAACCAATCTATTTTCTTGCCATTTTTGGTGTGTTCCTCTTTTACTTACTCAATAATGAATAAAAGAATTATCAAGGGATTAAGAACATCGTTTTTTTTTAAAAAATTATTTATTAAATTATGTGCTTACTTAAAAGTTCAGTGATGTGAATGTTAACATTATAAAAGGCATTTTAGAAACGTGTATAAATTAGAAATGAAAAAAAAATGAATGGAGAGGCACTTCTAGTGTTAAATATCAATCTCTGATACATAATCATCTCTTCCAAGCTCCTAAAAATGACTCTTGGTAACTAGTTCAAAGAACACAGAGCAAAAATTGATACAGGATTAAACATGTATTTGCATTTAATATATAATTATTTAATGCATATGCATGCTTTTGGGAATCTCAATATGTATGGAAAAGAATTGAACCCCTCCCTCAATCGCTTCAGTGATATATAGGGCTGGGTGACAGAAATCTAAACCACCAGTAGACAGCACCAAAGCATTAGGGTATTTTGTGTCTCTTGGCTGCCATTTAGTGGCTGTCTGGATTTTTGCAGTCATGATATGGTAGCCTTAGTCTTGAAGACTGGATTGCTCTTTGCATTGAAAAGATAACAATGGTGTCAATGGGAGCTTCCCCGCTATTATAAATAGCAGCTTTAGGACAGCAATTATAATCAGGGCACAATAAGAAGGAAAGAGTTATGCTGTACTCCCTACCTGCCACTCTCCTGATGATTATTAACCCCCAACCTCAACAGCTATTTGCAGCTTTTAAAACTATGCATTAAATATATGCATAGAACCATTTACACGACCAGCAAGTTTAGCTGATAGTTCCATTTTCCATGGCCAGATTTAAAACCAGGTAGATGGCAATAGGAGTTTGTATTGTGTATGGGAATTTGCGGCTAACACCAATGTAAAACAGAACAAGCATGAGGAATCACCTTCTACAAACCAAATCCAGCCCATCTTCTTCACTCTTCAAGCTCACTTTTTCCTCTGCTGAACTGAAATTTTAATCAGTTGAACCAATTGCTGAGCACAGGGACAGAGGGGAAAGGTTTGTGGGAAGATGATTCTTTCTTTCAGGTTCTAGGCTGCAATGTCATCTGTAGTGTGAAAATGCAGTTGACTGCCTGAGGAACCAGTAAGTATGTACCTCGGCAACACTCAAGGAGTTGAAGGTCCACAATGTTCACTGCCGGGATATGTCCCTGATATATGTGCCTGGATACCAGTTAATCTCTTTGTTGAAAAAGGTTACTCATTCCTTTTTTATACAGTAATTTTATTAAAAATTACAGTTAAAAGGATAAGAACAAATACAAACTAAAAGAAATAAAAGAATACAAAGAAAAAGTGCAGAAAAGAAAAAATAGAAAAATAGAAAAGAAAGAAAAAATAAGAATATAGTAAAGAAAAAGAAAAGACATATTTAAAGAAATGACTTCCCCTTCATCACAGCAAATATAAAAATGTTACTAATTTATCACTCTCTCTTAAAATATAACAAATGATCTCTTTTTCTCATATCCCATCTCTTATCTGTAAACAAACTTTAAAAGCCTCCTCGTTCAGTCCTGATCAGCAAAAGTCCATTAAGGGTTACCAGAGATAACAACAGATCTATTTTAACCTTCATCAGATAAACTAACTGTATATTCCTTCCTTTTACTTTTAACAATCTTGATCTTTAATCCCTTCAAAATACTGTCCTAGAACTTGATTTCTTTTCATTTTTTCTTTGTCCCTTCTGACAAAATTCTTCAAAGCTTTAACAAGTCTTTTTTGTAAATCCAATATTGGAAAGTTATCCAGGTCACTCTCTTGATTTGTTATTTGTATTTCCCTTCTAATTATTAAGACATCAGCTGGTTTCACCTGTATGCCCAATGCAACATCTTTTTCCATATTGTTCTTGTAGCCTGTCATTTTTAAATCCACTTTTGGATCAGTCTCAGTCTTGTCTGGTAAAACTTGTTCCTCTTCTGCAGCATCTTTTAAACATAGTCTATCTATAGAGGCAGGCACTCTTAAAATTAAACTTCTGGGTCCATTGTTCAAAAATATCCTGCAATATGTCCAATGTTAAAATATTTTGCTCCATTGTGTATTAGTAAGTCAAGTTTAAGTGTTCTCCTTTAATTGTAATCTTTAGTTCC